GCAGGTACTGGGGGTTCCATCTTACTGGTTTCGCTCGATGACATATTGAGTTCTCCTTTGTCAGTGACAACTGCTTGTGGTGATTCCATATCAGGCAAATCATCTTCATCGGCAATATCGTCTCCGTCATTATTTCGAGAAAATGATCTCTCTGGCGAGGCAACATTTCCCTTCAGCTGTCGTGGCTTAATTATGTCGGAGAGAAACAGCATCTGGTCGAAGAAAGTCCATGAAGAGGAACCTTCCTCCGGCGCCTCATCTCCTGATTTATGGACTTTTTTATATTCTCTTCTAAATACATCGCGCAGTCCTTTCCACTTTTTCTTTACTTCGATCACTAAAACACAAAACCACAGTTTTGGTTAAGATTGCAAATAGGAACATAAACAATTTTTTTTCAATAAATGTTCATAATGATTTCTGTTGTTACAGGTACTTGGCCACAGGTGCTTCATTCAAAACATTGGGGTATTCATTTAGAATGTCAGATGTAACCATTGGGAGAATAGTTAAAGAAACGTGTATTGCTATTTGGGACCAGTTGAGCACTCTACATATGCCATTTCCTCCTACAGATGAACAGCAGAAGTCAATAAAAGAAGGTTTTTGGCGTAAATGGAAATTTCCTAGTTGTGTTGGGTGCATCGATGAAAAACATATACGCATACGAAATCCAGACCATTCAGGCAGCATGTTCAGAAATTACAAGCATTTCTTTTCAACTGTGCTACAAGGTGTGGCGGGACCAGATTACAAGTTTATTACCATTGATACAGGAGGGTACGGCAAGGAAAGTGACGGTGGTGTGTTTTCTAATTCCCGCCTTCATAGAAGGCTTGAAAACAATGAGTTGGGTAATAAACGGCTTACCACACTGCCTGGATCGAATATTAAAGTTCCGTGCGCGCTGTTGGGAGATGAAGCCTATCCATTGAAAACTTACTTGATGCGACCTTTTCCCGCATCACAACTTGGACCTTCACATACAATTTTCAATAAACGACTTTCACAAGCACGGCAAGTCATTGAATGCGCGTTTGGTATTATTTCCGCGAAGTGGAGAGTACTTCAAAAAGGAATTGAGGTTGAACCAAACTTTGTCGATGATATCGTTAAATGTGTATGTTTGTTGCACAATATTATAATTGACAAAGAAGGCGAACCACAACCTATGTCAATACCTCAACAATCAGAAACCAGTACTACAAGAGCCAGATTTGCTTCCCTAGGCGAAAATAGGAGCGTCACTACCGCTTATGTGATCAGAGACAAATTCGCAGCATATTTTTGTGAACATCAAGCAAATACCTAAAAAACTTGTGTCAGAAGTAAAAGCTTTGCACTGACGGTCTGTTTTTGCCTGAATATCTCTTATGTTTTGTTCACTTTGTAATATAATAATGATATTGGAAACAACACTTACCATTATTAGTAACACCTACTTCGTCTGCAACTTTCGACCACAATTTCCTCTGAACATCACGAGAATGGTACCTGTTGTCTTTCATGTTCCACAACGGAGGCTTTTCACGAACGGCACTAATCAATTTTTCGTTATCAATTTCCATATAGAAAACTAAATATTACCTGCACAGAACACACGAACCCAAACGCAATGAATAATTTTAAGGCGTCTTCGTCAGAGATAACCCTATGGTCTTCGTTTGCACATGCGATCACAAGCGACTAATCCCATTTTGGAGGGATCGGTCGCCAGTCGCTTGTGGTGGCCGAGGTCGGTCGCTCAAGATCGCTTACAGTGGATGTTGTTTACATAATTTGTCATTTGTTAGGATCAGTCGCTTGTATACGGGCGTATACGCGCTACCTTCGAGTCGCGCGACTACGCTTCCAATGGACGATCAGCCTCGGTAGTAACCTGCAAGACCTAAGAAAGGTTTTATTTCTTTAGGATTCTTGGGCTGAGGGAAATTTTTTATGCAATCCACTTTATCTGGATTGGGCTTAACGCCATCAGGAGTTATTACATGACTAAGATAGGCTACTTCCTTTCTGAGGAATTCGCACTTATCAGGCTGGATTTTGAAATTCGACTTCCGAAGACGTTTAAAAATTTCGGTAAGCCTACTGATGTGTTCTTGGATGGAGGGGGAATAGACAATTATGTCATCCATGTATACAAGACATCTTTCGTTTTGTTTTAGGGACATCAACTGGATTTATCTCGATTTGATGAAATCCAGATGCTAAGTCCAGTGTACTAAAGTACTGGCATTTCCCTAATTGCTCAAGTAGATCGGAAATGTTTGGCAGGGGATATTTATCATCGATGGTGATTTCGTTAAGCTTACGATAGTCAATCACCATACTCCATTTCTGTTTACCAGAGGCGTCCGTTTCCTTTGGTACAACCCACACCGCAGAATTCCATGGCGGTGCTAGGTTCGATAATACCTTGTTTTAGTAATTTTGAAATTTGATCTTTGACTTCTTGCTTGTGGACATAAGGGTATCGGTAAGATTTGATAAAAATTGGTTTACTGGTAGTGGTATCAATGGAATGCTTAATTTCGTTTGTAAATGACAGGCTATCACCATCTAAATAATATGTCCGAAAAATCTAAACAAAGATTCGTAATTAATTCTTTTTCTTCCTCGTTGAGATGATCGAGACGTAATTGATCTCTAATATCTCTACGGTTATACTGACTTTGATTTTGTAAAGAAGTGTTGAAATTATTGATAGAAGTTTCGTTAAAGGGCTCGAAAGTTAATTGGGGTAAAATTATATTTTTTGGAATGGCATTACAGTTTAATACTGTAGTAAGGAATTCGCCTTTAGAATCAATTTTAACTATGGAACTGGGTAGACGGACTTTTTCTACCTCACACGCCAGAAGAATGGCTTCAGTATTTCTAAGCTCGGATTTGAGCTTGACAACTTGTTCAACTCTGGGAGGCATGGAAATAACATTTTGAACTTGAGAATTTTCTTTAAATTGCGAAGCTTGGGACTTTTCTTTAAATTGAGAAGCTTTGGAATTATTTTTGTCACCTATTTTGAGAAGAGGGACTGTTTTGAAATTTGTAATCAATTGACGATTTTTCAAATCAATAATACAATCATAATGTTCAAGAAAATCTGACCCAAGAAGGCCATCGAATGAAATATCTAGATCATGGACATAAATTTTGTGATAATCATTGGGAGCAAATGGGACTAAGACTGCTTCAGTAATACTAATTTTTTCGTCAGTAATACCCCGGATAGAGATATTTTCTGCGACACGATTAGTATAATTTTGACAAGTGTTACGTTTGAAAATGGAGCAACCTGCACCACTGTCGATGAGAATTTTGAATTTTCCAGTAGCATCTTTAATGTAATATAAGTTGTCTGGGCTAACGGGGTGAATTGTCGACGGGACTATAAACGGAGGGTTCATAGGGGGTTTCTCTTTCAAACACTTGGTCTGAAAATCCTGGAATTGTTGTATGTCCGAATAAGCGTTGTCAACAAATGTATCGGCGGTTTGATTATATTCGTAACAAAAATCGTTACTGGGTTCTCTAAAATCATCGTATGGGGAAGGTGTGTAGGTGTGTCCGTGTTGTATAGGCCTGGTTCACCGTAGTCGGAATAATCGTAAGAATCAGGAGCGACATAATTAATTCGATTGGGAGGATTTTGTCTAAAATTTCTTTGAAAATTAGGGTTTTGGAAATTTGGATTGCTCTGAATTACAGAGGGTCTTGGCGCACTCGCGTTAGGCGCATTTGGTCGTATTACAGATGGTCTGGGAGGATATTGATTAGACTTTTGATGGTAGTTGGATGTAGATGCTCTAACTTGCATAGGTTGATTCGGCCTAGGGTAATTTTGAGGCTGGGGCTGGTTAAACTGTCTCGGGGCAAAACTTGTAGACTGTTGTCTCCGTTGGCATTCATTTGCCAAGTGACCGGGACGATTACAAAAATTACAAATTATAGGGTTTGGTCTTCGATTAACAGAATTTTGATTCGGGTTTGGGGCCCTGGCGAATTTTTGTCGTTCCAAATATGAGAATTGTAACTCTCGTTTGATATACGGAACTGCGGTCAAGATATCCGTGGGATGTCCTGATCGCACAACAGGTCCTATTCTTGAGTCTAATCCTGTTAATAGACAATTTAAAGTCATCGTTTCGATGAGGGAACTTTGAGCAGATTTTTGCTCGCGATATAGATTTTGCCTATTCACGGCGGAATGCATTTTAGGTGCATGCGTCTGCAGTCTAGGTGCAACGGTTAGGGGTGATTCGTTGGGGAGCTGGCACATGTGTTGAAGATCCGCGATTAAAGATGAGAGATTTCTAAGATCTCCAAAGTGCGTTTCTAACAGGGACCGTATGTCTTCCCACGTGGAAGGGTTTCGGCTGTTCACAAGTTCGGCGGCACGTCCGCGAAGTTTGTTTTTAATATGTAAAACGACGAGAAGCCGCTGCTCCTCGACGGTAGGGATGCCCAAAATTGAAAAAACATCGATACTGGTATCAAATGATGTATCGAAAATTGAAAACATCGTTCTTTCCGATACATCGATATTTTCAAAAAAATCGATGTATCGAATCAGCGAATTTTGCTAGTTTTGATTAGTAAAGTAAATAATCATAATTCAAATCATTTTTGGAAAAACTAGTCATTAAATATTAAAGTAAAAAGTCTATTATAAAGGAGACTCATTTTATTTAAAAATATACTTTTGGAATATAGTTATACATAGATTACAGATTACTCTAAACATATAATCCTAAATCCATATAGAAAATGAACTGCAACATAAAATAAAAACAAATTAATTTACACATTCAAAAAACTTCTTATTAACACTATTTAAAAATAGTAACTTTGAAAGTCTTTTTCCTTTCAGACGATTTCTCGTTTGTGTCAGTGTTTGCCCTGCCTTAGAGAAAAGACGTTCAGAAGGTACGGAGGTTGCCACAATCGATAAGTATTTCTGGGCCAATTTTGCTAGGATGGGATGTGTTCCAGACATTGCTTTCCAAGTAGACAGCGGGTTATCAGAAAAATTGGAAATTGGACTCCTTAAGTATTGAGTGACTTCTGATGTAATATCTGTAGAATATTCATCTAATTGTTTCGATTTCGTTCGTTCAACAATTGTATGGTGACCGCTCCACAAATTATATTCTTTTGAACTGCCTGAAAAAATAAAAATAGATGCAAAAATTAGCTTTCATTTTATTGAAAAGTATTAGTTTTACCTGGATTTGCATCTACATTGTCAATTCCGTCAACATCGCCAACGTAAGGTTCTCCAGCTTTCTGTAACTTAAGTTCTTCTTTGTAAAGGCATTGTAATAAATTAACAGCATTTGCGCAAGCTAATGGGTTCTTAAAATGAAGTCTTTTAAAACGTGGATCCAGTAATGTGGACACTGCTAGTATCTCTACGTTTTCAATATCTCCAAATCTCTTTTCCATCTGTTTAAGCAAACTTTTTTTAATTCTTTGCCAATCTCTAAAACAGCTGACGTTTTATTAATTTTACCGAGAAGGCAGTGTACCATTGGGATAACTTTGCTGCTGCTTACATAATGTTCCCCACATAATTCTCTAGTTGCCGCTTCCAAGGGTCGCAATAAGTGCTTAATCTCTTCTAGTTCTTCATAGCCATGGGTAACACTGCAAATTTTCGCGTGTTGATACAATGACACACACAGTGCTTACTGTGTCAAAACAATGTGTCAACACTATTGTGCTATGACACAGTATGTACGGTACGCGGGTACGGTGCTGAAACAAAAAATGCGCTTACTGTGGCAACACCGATCCAGTGCGATGTGCCGACGTTGACATTTATTAAAACGCGGGTATGGTACGTTTTGGTATTCTGGGAATCAAAAACGGTGACTTCGGTGAGGAATAGGGGGATTATTCAAAGTCACCACGGAATCACGGAAACAAAGTCCCTCTTGTGTCACTCCTCTCAAGCAGTTACGTTACGAGGCAACCTATCAATCTACAATCTACTAACAACTAACCTTGGAATGACTCGAACTTGCACTTCCAGTTGTTCCTAAAACAAAAATTATGCTTTCAGGTACCATCTACTACAGAGGAGTGGCTTCAGATCTCCGCCGAATTTGAAAGAAAATGGCAATTTCCTCACACAATCGAAGCCATAGATGGGAAGCACGTTGTACTACAAGCACCTATCAATTCAGGAACTGAATGCTACAACTATAAACATTTTTTTAGGATTGTGCTTTTTGCATTAGTCGACGCTGACTACAATTTCATTTATGCTGACGTAGGATGCCAAGGCCGGATATCGGACTGTGGTGTATTTAAAAATACGACATTATACAAAAAATTAGAGGGGCGTGAATTACAAATTATGCAGCCAGAAGTCTTGCAAGTACCGTATTCTATAGAAGTACCATATTATATATTGGGTGACAAAGCGTTTGCTTTGAATGAATATACGATGAAACCATTTGATGGTAATCCCGAGCCTCGTTCAGCAGAACGTGTATTTAATTACCGTCTTTCTAGAGCTCGTCGCGTCGTATAGAATGCATTTGGGATATTGAGTTCAGTATTTCGGGTATTGAGGAAACCCATGCTTTTGGAACCAAAAATAGCAACTAAAGTTACATTAGCAACAATATATTTACACAACCTTCTACGCAAACATACTTCACGTGCAACATACACACCGGCTGGAAGTTTTGATACAGAAACACAAAATGGCGCAATTATAGACGGCCGTTGGCGCAATGATGGACCAACGACATCGTTGATGCCAACTCGCAACATTCTACGAAGATCATCCAGACACCACACAAACGTCCGTCTGCATATAGCTAACCACTTTATTTGGAACGATCCTTTACCGTGGCAAGAAAACTATTAAGAATCTACTTACTTCAGAACTCTCTACTACTTCTGTATCCATAGTTTCTCTTGGGTTCTCTTTATCGGATAAGAAATCGAAATATTTGTAAGCGAACCATTTAGAGTTATACGTATATACATCCTCGATACCTGTAACAAATAATGATAATAGTAATAATAAGTTAATAATAAGTTAATATCAGTCTATGGATTTGAAAACAGTAAAGAATGACTTACCGGACCCAGAGAGTCTGCTTTTGTTCTCCCTTGACCTCTCGCTCCTGTAGGAACCCATCAATGTTTTCATTTTTGATTTTAAAATATTGACAGGCTGCTGCATTTTTGCACTCATTTCCTTCCATGCGTCCTCTCTCTTCATTTTGTTATGATGAGCCTTATCTTTGGGGTCCCATAAAAATCGGTAGGTTTGATAAAGTTCAATGAGGCGTAAGCTGCTCTGTTGATCCATTTTTGGCGCGAAAACTCACGGTGCACGTGCACACTGCCCGCAACACAGAAGGCGAGGCTCTTTGATGCGCGATCCAAAACCGACTGGCGCTGGCTCACGTCGAAACATACTCGCGAAACAAGTTTCGGCGGTCTACAAAGTATAGGCGATGCGAGGCTTGTTTCGCGAAGCAGCTTTACATTTGTCGCATTTTTTCTGGCGAAAGTGGCATCATGTCGCCTTGACATTTGTTTGTAGCACTGTGTACATCTCTTCCTTGTTACTCTTTTCGGTCCCCCAGTTTCTTTCAGTGCGTGTCTATTTGAGGTAGTAGGTCTATCTATGGAGGCTGAATCCGGACAAACGAGATGGCGAGAAACTTCTTTTTTGAATGCAATTATGTCCATTGTCTTGTTGTTTACTCTATTATATAAGTGAAGGGCATTGACTACCGTAGAGGAGGTAATCAAATAAAATACAAGTCTTCTATACCACTTCACGGTTCTTCTCACAAAAGGAGCATAAGCAGCCATTTGGTCGGAAAGATCTATGAATGCTTTTCCTTGGTTATAGTCGAGAATAATAGCGGGCTTGCTTACTTCTACACCTCTGTGTAGATATTGCACAACAGAACTATCATGTTTGGTACTGAGTAACAATACGTCTCTTTTGTCTCGCCACTTGAGAACTATAGTTTTATCTTCGTTTTGCTCCTTTATTCAGTTTTGCTTTCACGACGTCGGGAGGATTATATCTCCTATTTGAGCGAAGTGTTCCAACTAGATGTGTACTATGTTTTATCAGTGTCTTCGATAACGCAACACTAGTGTACCAGTTATCTGTGTACATTGTTCTTCCATCGTCCAAAAGACCTTCCATCAATTCTATTACCACCTTTTCGGCAACAGACACATTATCAGTTTTTTCTTTGCCCGTATACACTTTGAATGACCAAGTATAGCCACCACTCACGCAGAGTTTGAAAAGTTTTATCCCATACTTGTGTCGTTTATTGGGGATGTACTGCCTAAAATGAATGCGACCACGAAATGGCACATTTGTCTCGTCAATACAAATCATCTCTTCGAGAATATATGACTCTTTGAATTTGGGTTCTAGTAAATTCAAAAATGGTGACATTTTGAAGAGGCGGTTATTGGGATCTCGTGGTTCATTGTTATTGGATAGATGGAACATAGAGAGCAACATTTCAAATGTGTTTCTGCTCATTACTTTTTTAATATTATTGTGAAGAAGCACATCTGTAGACCAATAATCACGCAACTTTGGAAGATGCATCACTCCCATCCAGATGATTATTCCTAAAAATTTTTGCATTTCTACAAAGTGTGTGTCTACCCATTTGCTTATTCTTGATTTGCAGCTACAGTTTGCGATGCAAACCTGTTTGTTTCATTGACCAGTAGTGTGATTATCTCGTCGTCAATGAAATGTTGAAAAAATGAAACCGGGTCTTTACCACTTAGCTTCTGAACGACATCTGTATGAACACCAGTATAGGGAACACTGAACGGAAAATGATTTCGTGCTCCAGCTACAGCTTCCCACTTTCGTTTTTTGACAAAGTTGATCAAAGGGATGTTATCAGAAGAGTCGCCTTCTGGATCACTGGGATTTTCATCTTCCGGTGGCCACTGATTAAAAAAACTAAAACACGGAAAAATGTTCAAAAAAATGTAAAAGAATGGGATTACATGTCATAAAAAAGCAACATTATATTAATAAACAACAAACAAATTTTGGTCCCGTGGAGAGGTATTCTGATTCACCTGCGGCGCTGAATGTGTTAAATTGCAAAATGCGATGTACTTTTTTTAAAACTAAGCCATGTGCTACAGCTAGTTTTAAATTTCTACAATGAATTATGTAATTTGTTTTATCGTAGAGAGTTGTGATTAATTTTGTTAGTTTTGAAGCTGGTGGAACCCGATGCTCTGGACATAGCGGAAAATCTTTATGTTCATCATGCAAATATTTTGGATACTCAAGGTCTACTTCGAGTATGTAACCAATATCTGCATCATCTGAAATATCATGTACATGCAACGTATCAAAATTTTCCAACCAAGCAAACCCTGCATACGGAAGATACTGAGTCATAGCAAATGCGTACAATGCATGAACATCCTGAGAAATTCCTCCGCGTATGACACGTTCTACAAATAATAGCATATCAACATTTTTTAAAATTTCAATTTTACAACCGGTATACCGTAGCATACAATCAAATGTATAACCAGGTAAGGTAATAATACCATGCGGGATCTAAGCCGTGCGTCCTATGGGCAGTTTGTCTAAAATTTTCAAAAACTTCTGCTAATAAAATAATGTTTGTTTTCAAATAAAGATCACTATATTGCTCGATGTTCTGAATTTCGAAATTGGACCACACATCTTTAGCACATTGGTACTCGTCATCGCTAACGTTTGAGTCATTTATTCTATTGTAAAATAGTTCAGGTGTAGGTAGTTCTGTTTCATTTATCTTTTGCCATGAGTCAATATAATCGTATGGAAATATACCTTTATTTGTTAGCCACTCAAACTTTTCATCGTTCAAGTGTCCAAACTCTTTTTTTAATATCTGTAAAGCTCCGATATCTAACAAATTAACAAGTTTATCCAAAGATGCAGCCAAACATCTAAAGGAATCTATGAAACGGAACGCAATATCGGATACAACATTTCGGATAGTGAATGAAATATATTTTTGCTTATTTAATGGGAGCAAAACAACTCGATTAGATTTTGCAATGTCTTTAATAATAAAATGAGAATCATAACCGCTCAAATTATGAAGCACAACTGGAAGTATGAACGAGTTTTTATAATTTAAATTACATTTAGAATGTGCAAATCCTCGAAAATCACCACTCAGATGGCAGTGGTCCCTTACAATTTTAGAGTCAGCTTTGAATGGTTTCTTACATATATGGCAATGCGAACTAACATTTTTAAAATCAACGTATGTATTCATTGGAATAACAAATTGAAGTTTTGATTGAACAAACTTTTTTGATACTTGATCATATGCGTCAAGGTTGATTTTTTGTTAGTTTCACTGAATGGTAGTAACATGCATGACATTATAAAATCTTCCATATAGCATAAAAAATGTCCTCTATAAAATTGTATAAGACTCAGATTTATGTGAGGAACCGGCAACGTCGCATGTGTCGTTGTTAATAACACACATGTAATAAAATCTTCCATATAGCATTATAAATATCCGCTATGAAATTGTATAACAAACTCAGATTTATGTGAGGATCCGGCAACGTCGCATAAGTCTAGCTACCACACGACTTGCAAAACAATGGCGCTTGACACTGACATATGTCAACCGTGTTCGCCTAAGGATAGCACGGGACTGTTCTTTCTTCAGTGTAAATGTTTTCTGATTTGACAGGAATGAAAATTATTTACCTTTTTTAAATCTGCTGACGATTAATAAGGGTACCTCTCAAACTTCTTCAAAGATGAAATACATTATCACGATAGATATACACTGAGGCACTTCGTCTGAACCGAAAAACTGTAAACACTCGGCACCGGGTATCACTAGACAATAATACACTGCTATAAGTACAAAGTCTTGCTATGTTGTGGATTTCTGGTCTCTTCAGGAATTGATCTTTGGCGGTAATAAGGTCTTACAATCATATTTATCGTATTTAAACTGATGATGACTTCTATGTATCGCTAAACGTCAAAGCCTAACTCCAACTGCCTGTAAACATCGCGACTTACTAGATTGTTATCATGAATATGGGTATAGTCCCGTACCGAAAATGTTTATTTTCACGCGTAAAAAAGGACAATTCTGTTTGGCGTGATCCAATATTGGATGAAGCGATAGTCATGAAGCCGAAAATGGCACGTGTTTGACGTTCCGCTTGCACGCGCTCGCTTTCGTAATACGAACATACCTACAATACCCCGCCTAACAGGAATCGCGAATCTGGAGCGAAAATCAAAATTGAAACTTCAAACTAAAAATATCTGCTTATCTTTGAACTTTCTAATCCGCCGAGTTTAAAAAATGCGATCGGCTAACGTGTCGTATATCGGGTTAATCAGGAGACTTTGGTCTTTCGTTTTGCGAAAAAAAATCGTAGCTATGTCGATCCGTAACGAAGGTCCGTATCGAAGAAGACAAAGTACGCCGAAAAACTTTTTCGAAATTTGACGGTAATTCTAACGGTCAGAATCGTTTCCTCAGCTCATTATCGTTATTTTTCGATAGATGTATAATTTTTACTCGCTTACGTACGGCAGTAATAGGCGAGGACAGACCCGGATGACAAAGTGACTTTTCCACGCGTCGAAAAGTAGCATTTCGTCGAGCAATTTATTAAAAATCGAAACTTTCGAACGACAAGGGATAAAGAAAAAAAAAGACGCTATCTTTGAGTCCGATGTCCGGGCTTTCTCACGCAAAAATCGTCAGGTTCGTAGCTCCTTTATCTTCGGAGGAGATCGAAAAAGAACGTCGAATGGCACGAAAATCTACCAATTTTTCAGCTTTACCGGCCATTTTCGATCGCGTTTGTTCCTCATACCGCGACGGCTCTCGCTCCCCCGTAAAGCGCCGAGTTTCTAGTTTCCGAAACGGTATCGTTTTCCTTCCGAACGTTTCGCGAACCCGGAAAAAAACTGGAAAAATCGGAAAGTAGCGCGTAGTGGAGGAAATCAAAAAAATCGAAATTTTCGAACGAAAAGGGATAAAGAAAAAAAAAGAAAGACGCTATCTTTGAGTCCGACGCCCGGGCTTTCTCACGCAAAAATCGTCAGGTTCGTAGCTCCTTTATCTTCGGAGGAAATCGATGTTGAACGTCGAACAGAACGAAAATCTACCGGTTTTTTCGACTTTACCCACCGTTTTCGATCCGGTTTCTTGCTCTCACCGCGCCGGGTCTCGCTCCCCCGTAAAGCGCCGAGTTTCTAGTTTCCGAAATGGTATCGCTTTCCTTCCGAACGTTTCGCGAACCGGGGAAAAA